CAGTTTGAGTATGTTGTGCATTCATTTTCATTGAATCCTAGGACATCTTTAATTTTTTTCTTTATTTCTTCCTTAACCCATTGGTGATTCATTTGGGCATTATTCAGTTTCCATGAGATTGTAAGCTTTCTGTAATTTTTGTTGTTGAAATCTAACTTCAAGCCATGGTGGTCTGATAAAATACAGGAGGTTATTCCAGTTTTTCTGTATCTTTTGAGATTTTCTCTGTGACCAAGCACGTGGTTGATTTTAGAGAAGGTTCCAAGGAGTGCTGAGAAGGTATATTCTTGTGTTATGGTGGAATATTATGTAGATATCTATTAAGTCCATTTGTGTCAGAATGTCTGTTAGTTCCCTTATTTCTGTTAAGTTTCTGTCTGGCAGACTGTCCATTGGTGAGAGTGGGGTGTTGAAGTCTCCCACAACTAGTGCATGGGGTTTGATGTGTGATTTAAGCTTTAGTAATGTTTCTTTTACCTGTGTGGATGTGTTTGTATTTGAGACATAAATGTTCAGAATTGAGACTTCATCATGTTGGATTTTCCCTGTGATAAGTATGTAATGTCCTTCCTGATCTCTCTGGATTGATTTCAGTTTGAAGTCTATTTATTAGATATTAGGATGGCTACACCAGCTTGATTCTTCACTCCATTCGATAGGAAAGTCTTTTCCCAGTCTTTTACTCAGAGGTAGTGTCTGTCTTTGAAGTTGATGTGTATTTCTTGTATGCAGCAGAAGGCTGGATCCTATATTTGTATCCATTCTGTTAGCCTGTGTCTTTTTATAGGCAAATTGAGTCCATTGATATTAATGGATATTTATGACAGTGATTGTTAATTTCTGTTATTTTTTTGGTGATAGTGTTGTGTGTTTACCTTCTTTGGTATTTGTTGGTGTGGTATTGTCTATTGCCTGTGTTTTCATGCATCTAACTTCCTTAGGTGGATTTTTCCTTCTCATGCTTCTGTAGTGCTGGATTTTTGAATAGGTTTTGTTTAAATCTGGTTTTATCACATTTTCTGTGACTTTGAGTTCATATTCTTCTCTTTCTTCTATATTCTATTAGGTTTGGTCTTTTTTTTTTTTAATTTATTTATTTATTATGTATACAGAAGAGGGTGCCAGATCTCATTATAGATGGTTGTGAGCCACCATGTGGTTGCTGGGAATTGAACTCAGGACCTCTGGAAGAGCAGTCAGTGCTCTTAACCTCTGAGCCATCTCTCCAGCCCCCAGGTTTGGTCTTTTTATGATGTCCCAAATTTCCTGGATGTTTTGTGTTGTGACTTTGTTGGCTTTAGTGTTTTCTTTGACGGATGAGTCTATTTCTTCTATTGCATTTTCAGTGCCAGAGAGTCTCTCTTCCATCTCTTGCATTCTGTTTTTTCTGTTGCATCTGTAGTGGCTGTTTATTTACTCAGATTTTCCATTTCCAGCATTCCCTCAATTTGTGTCTTCTTTATTGCCTCTATTTCAGTTTTCAAGTCTTGAACTATTTCCTTCACCTGTTTAATTGCTTTTTCTTGGCTTTCCTTAAGGGATTTATTGATTTCTTCCAATTTTTTGTTTGTCTTTTCCTCGGTTTCTTTAAGGGAATTTTTCATTTCCTCTTAAATGCCTCTATCATCTTCTTAAAGTAATTTTTAAAGTCGATTCCTTCTGCTTCTTCTGCATTGGGATGTTCAGGTCTTGCTGATGTAGAGCCACTAGGATCTGATTGTGTGATATTGGTCTTTTTGTTTTTGACTGTATTTTTGCACTGGTGTCTACCCATCTTTCTACCACTCGGTGCAAGTGGTATCTGTGTCTGAGGGAGCCACTCTTGGTCCCATCGATACTCCTGGTTCAATGAGAACTCTTGGTATAATCGGGGCTCTTGGTCTAATCCATGCTGAAGGACTTTGTGTCTCAGGGAACTGCTCTTAGTCCAATCGGCACCTGCGGACTCTGTCTCAGGGAGCTGCTCTTAGTCCAATCGGCACCTGCGGACTCTGTCTCAGGGAGCATGTGCAGTTTTAGAGGATGGGTGGATTTCAGAGGAGTGGGGCTTGTGGGTTACAGGGTCTGGTGGGGGATAGTGGTAGTCTAACCTGTCTGCAGGAGCCCTGCCTGCTGGCCTGACACTGGGACTGCAATAGATGGTGGTGTGGGGGGGCAGGGTTGAGCCCCTGGGCCCAAAGCCTAGAGGCTCTGGTGTTCAGCTATGAGGACAAAGACTCACCTCTTAGTCCAATTGGCACTTGTGGGCTCTCACTGAGTCATCTTTTATACAGAATTTCCTTGAGCGGGTCATAGTGGCTCACAGCTGTAATCCCAGGCCCTGAAAAGCTGAAGCAGAAGTATCACTACTAGCTTGAATCCAGATCTGAGCCTAGAATGAGACTATGCTCCAAAAAATATGAAAGAATTTTGTCATTATAGGACCAACACCTCACCAGGGAACATGCTGTGCAAAGTCTACAGTGTGTTGTTTGAGAAATGAAATGCACAGTTTTCCTAGGCCAATAGGAGACCAAGTGGTGATCCCTATTATATGGTTAGACTTTCCATTGGCTAGAGTTAAAAGATTTTAAAATGAAGCTGTCACTTTCACTTTATTTTTGCCCTTCAAGAAGTTACCATATATCTCTGTATTATAGTTTTATTTAATTAGTACATTGAATCACCAGAGTATGTGGGCTCACCCCTGTCATCCTAGTATTTTGGAGGCAGATGCAAGAAGTTCAAGACTACCATGACCCAAAGAGTGAGTTCCAGGCCAGCCAGAGCTACAAAGAAATCTTGTATCAAAAAGACCACAAAAAAACCAGGGATGTGTTTAAGTGTAGGAATGAGACCATCTGTGGGTTAGAATTGGATGAAATAATGCTGGTGGAGTCTCAGTAGGAAAAGTGCTTGGCATGCAAGCCTGATGACCTGGGTTTGATCCTAGGAACCCTTGGTGGAAGGAGAAATCGACTCTTAAAACTTTGTCCTCTGATCTTCAAACTCCTACTATGGCATTCTTGTGCCTGCTCTCATGCATTTATCACACACATACACATAATACTGATCTTGTTGTTGTCTAGCTAGGAAAAAAGAATACGTTTTGGTCTTGGATCGTACTTAAAAATTGTGATGGGATTAAAATGTCCCATCAACTTATGTATAGGTATCAAACAGGTAAGTCTTACAATGAAAATGAAGTGTTTTATGTGGCACTATTTCTCTGTTTTTCCTAGCGCTCTTTTTAATCAATTGTGACCTTTATGTGTCACCTTAGAGACACTTTTGTTTGCTCTGTCTGTCTGTCTCTCTTTTTTGAGATAGGATCTTTTGGGACAAAAACTGGCTTTGATATCTCGATTCTCTTGCTTCCACTTCTCAGTTGCTGAGATCAGGGATGTCAGGTTTCCATGCCTATCTGAAAAATCCTTTCACTAAAAGGCTTAGTTTTATGTAGACCTCTCTTCTTCAGGATACAATCTTTAACCTAAACCTCAATATTTTATTTTCAGAGCCATGCATACTTATATGGTGATTTTGACAAGCAAGGACTGTTCATTTGATCCTATGGATTCTTGCTTCTGGACAGTAATTCCTGTTTCCTTTAGATATTGCCATTGCCAGAGCATTCTAAGGGTCTGCTTCCTCCAAGATAAATATGTCTTCTGTTGGTAATAACAGTCAAAAATGGAAGACACGTTGTACTTAAACAGTTTCTAGGGGTTGGAAAGATGGGTCAATGGAAAGTGCGCATATGAAATTTGTAAGACAGAATTCAGTTCCCACATATATTTTGCCATTTCTGTTGACAATGAATGAATTTGATACCTATTCCAGATTTGTAGTCTTTCATTTCTCTCTTGTAACATATATCCCCAATCCTTTGCTCTTCTTTCTCCTGGGATATTCTTATGTGATTCCTTTTGTGTTCTTGTTTTGTAAGGCAGTGTGTCATATACCCCAGGCTGCCCTCAAACTTCATATATCACCAAGAATTACATTCAACTTCTGATCCTACTACCTCCAACTCTTAAGTGCTGGGATTACAGGCATCCTAATCCTTGCCCCTTTATGGAACAAGGATTGAACTGAAGGATTCATACTTGCTAGGCAAGAATGCTACCAACTGAGGTACATTTTTGCCCCTTTATTCTTTTTATTTTATTAATTATAATTTTGCTATGTGTGAATGTTTTGCCTCCTTACATGCCTGTGTACAGCGTGTATGCCTTGTGCCCATAGAGACCAGAAAGAGTCATAGCCCCTAGGACTGGAGTTACAGGTGGTTGTGAGTGATCTTATCTCACCATCATTTTTATTACTATTTGTTTTAAGATCAGCATTTACTAATATTTTTGAGACTCTTTGATCTGTCAGTCAGTAGCTTACACAAAATGCATTCCTTCCTAGGAATTATTAGCCTTATAATTTACAAGGAATCACTTTAGTTTATAATTGAGAAGTACAGAATTGGAGTGAATGTTTTAACTCCATGGAGGAATTTTGAGTAAGCTTTTGAGTGCTTTCTGTTTGTTTGCTTGTTTGTTTGAGACAGGGTTTCACTGTGTACCTTTGGCTGTCCTGGAAATCTCTACACAGATCCTGCTGGCTTGGAAATCATAGAGTATCACCTGCTTTTGCCTCCTGAGGTTTGGGATTAAAGGTGGGCACCACCACACCCATATTGTCTATCCTTTTTTGAATTAAAAATTTTGATAAAATTTTGCTGATGTATACTAACTGGTTTTTACTCTGTTTGCATGTCTTTCTGTATACATTACTATGCATTTCTCCTGCAATGCCGTATTCTATTTTGTGGGCACAGAAATGGAAGGCATGATTCTCCTTTTCTGTTTTCTTTTAAAATGTGTTGATAACTACATTTGTTATTTTATGACCCATGAGATAGAATAAATTGAGCACAGTGAATTATGTAAATATATTTTCAATGAATATACATTTGCAATGCAGTCAGTCTCAACATTTCTATTATGTTCATCTATGTGATACTTTAGGATGCAGTGACCTATAAGGATGTGCATGTGAACTTCTCTCATGAAGAGTGGGCTTTGCTGGATTCTTCCCAGAAGAATCTCTACAAAGATGTGATGCTGGAAACCTACTTGAACCTCACTTGTATAGGTAGGAATGTGAGCTTTCTGTCACTTTTTAATTTAAGGGGACAAGGCTTTCTTGGAGATTTTTGCTCTTCTGTGACTTTGGATATGAAAAAGGAATAATCTAGTGAATAAATCAGGCATTGGTCTAAGGTTCTCAAATGGTATATATAGTATAGGCATTTCCTAAAATATAGTAATTTCCATTGTGCCTAATTTCCAGTAACATATCACATACATTTTCTGGTGCTGTATTTTAGGTTACAAATGGGAAGACCACAATGTTGAACAACATTGTCAAAGTTCTAGAAGACATGGAAGGTAATTTTCATATGCAAGCTGATACATATGTACCTCGGAAAAAATGTTAATGTACCCTGAACTTTTCAAGAAAAGCAGCAGAGTAAATTACCATAGCTGTGGGATGGTTCTTAAATTCTTACAACACCATGTACTCCAGTGTTAGGAAGCTGATCACTGGAAGGCATTCCTTTAAGGATAAAACAAGGAAACAATGCCATAACAGATGTCACAATTTTAATTATAGCCATATGAGAGGTATGTTGTAGAATTGTCCATCCATGTATTGTCATACCATTCAATCATTTTATAAGTTATTCACATTGATAAGAGGATTAGAGTATGTCCAAGATCTTTTATAAGCAAATCTTCCATATTGAAGCTAATGTTCTTCATATATTTGTAGTGAGTGACTTACCATAGTTAAGTGAGTAGAGCAATTGGGAGACAAGGAATATTTAAAAAATTTTTAAAATTAATTTTACATACCAACTACAGATCCCCTTCTCATCCCTTCTGTCCCCCACCCCAGACTCCCTCTGACCAACCCCCCATCTCCTCCTCCAAAAGGGTGAGGCCTCCCATGGGGAGTCAGTAAAGCCTGGTACATTCAATTGAGGCAGGACCAAGCCCCTGCATTCAGGGTGATCAAGGTGTCTGACCATAGGTAATGGGCTCCAAAAAGCCAGCTCATGCAGATCCCTATCCCACTGCCAGGGGCCCCTCAAACAGACCAAGCTACACAACTGGGGAGACAAGGAACTTATCGTGGTGTAGAAACCTGAATCCATATACCACATCTCTAAGGCACAAAATGCTAGACTGTGAATGTAATGTGAAAACCTTTTATTTTTTATACTTCCTTTAATAGGCATATCATCTGTCCCTCTGGATACAAGCCATGTGAGCATAAGGGATATGGAAAGAAGCAATATACCTCTGTTTCTCCTGGAATAATTAGAAGATATGTTGTAGTCACTACTATGAGAAGACATGATGACTGTGATACAAATTTATACTCTAACATTGGAGAAAGGCCTTATAAGTACAAGGAATGTGGAAATTCATCTGTCTGTACTAGTTCACTTGGCATATGTAGTGTGATTCGCAGTATAAAAAAATGTCATGTGTATAATCAGTGTGGTAAAACTCTGAGTTCTTCCAGTTCTTTTCAACGACTTGAAGAAACTCATATGGGAAGAGGAAGTAATAAATGTGAGCTTTGTACTAAAGATTTTAGCCATCACAATTTTCTTCAAACACACAAAACAACCACTAATGAAGATCTCTATGAATGTAGTCAACATGATAAAGCCTTTAGATATGATTCCTCCTTAAAAGTACACCAAAGAACTCATTTGGAAGGAAAACCCTATGAATATAATCAAAGTGATAAAATGTCTGCATGTCACAGTATTTATCAACTACATAGAATTCATACTAGAGTGAACAAGTTTGCATATCAGCAATGTGATAAATACTTTGCAAGTCCTAGTTATCTTCATATATATAAAAGAATTCATACTGGAGAGAAACCCTATGAATGTACTCAATGTGATAAAGCCTTTGCATCTCCCAGATATCTTCAAGTACATAAAAGAATTCATACTGGAGAGAAACCCTATGAATGTAATCAGTGTGGTAAAGCCTTTGTGAGGAAGAGCCATCTACGTAAGCATGAAAGAATTCATACTGGAGAGAAACACTATGAATGTGATCAATGTGGTAAAGCCTTTGTACAGAAGAATAGTCTTCAAAGGCATGAAAGAATTCATACTGGAGAGAAACCCTATCAATGTACTCAGTGTGATAAAACTTTTGCCTGTCCCAGTTATCTTCAAATACATAAAAAAATTCATACTGGAGTAAAACCCTATGAATGTAATCAATGTGGTAAAGCCTTTGCAAGGAAGAGTCATCTTCTCCGTCATGAAAGAAGTCATACTGGAGAGAAACCCTATGAATGTAATCAATGTGGCAAAGCCTTTGCAAGGAAGAGTCACCTTCTCCGTCATAAAAGAAGTCATACTGGAGAGAAACCCTATGAATGTATTCAATGTGGTAAAGCCTTTATACAGAAGAGTCATCTTCTCACACATGGAAGAATTCATACTGGGGAGAAACCTTATGAATGTAATTAATGTGGTATAGGTTCTTCATCTTGCAGTCTTCAAAGGCATGAAAGGTTTCATACTGGAGAGAAACCCTATGAATGTCATCAGTGTGGCAAAGCCTTTGCAAGGAAGAGTCACCTTCTCTGTCATAAAAGAAGTCATACTGGAGAGAAACCCTATGAATGTATTCAATGTGGTAAAGCCTTTATACAGAAGAGTCATCTTCTCACACATGAAAGAGTTTATACTGGGGAGAAACCTTATGAATGTAATTAATGTGGTGTAGGTTCTTCATCTTGCAGTCTTCAAAGGCATGAAAGGTTTCATACTGGAGAGAAACCCTATGAATGTAATCAATGTGATAAAGCATTGCACATGAAAGTCATTTTCACAGGCATAGAAGATGTCATACTAGAGAGAAACCATATGGATATGATCAGTGTGATAGGGACTTCCCATGTAACAGTCACCTTCAAATGAAAGAAAGTACTCCTACTGGGGACAAACCCTATAAATATAATGAATGTGGTAAAGACTTTGCACAAAACAGTCATCTTCACAGTCATGAAAGGAATCATACTCAACAAAAGCCCTGTGAATATAACCAGTGTGGTAAAATCTTTGCATGTTTCGGTATACTTCAAAATCATGAAAAAATTCACAGTGGTGAAAATCTCCATGAACCTAATAAATGAGGTCAAGCCTTGTGGTCCACATACTTTTTTTTTCCCCACTGAGCATTCTCACCAGTCTTCAGTAAGATTAGTAGAGCCAGCTGGGTGGTGGTGGAGCATGCCTTTAATCCCAACACTTGGGAAGCAGAGGCAGGCAGATCTCTGTGAGTTCAAGGCCAGCCTGTTCTACAGATTGAGATCCAGAAAAGGTGCAAAGCTACACAGAGAAACCCTGTCTCGAAAAACCAAAAAAAAAAAAAAAAAAAAAAGGAAAAGATTAATAGAGCCAAATTCAAAGTTAAAATATTGTCTTTGTTTCCAGTTGTAAACATATTGTTTTCCAGGAATACAGAAACATAATAATTTGAATAATAAAATGTATTTGGAAATATATTTGATATTTATACCATCATCCATTATTTTTGGATCATGTTACTTTATTCTGAGATCTAAATACTTGTTCTTATCTCATTCTCAGAACCACAAATGAATGGCAGAGAATTTTATCAGTAAGTAAATATGATTGCTGCTAAGCTTGATGACCTGATATTGAGTTCCAGGATGGCCATAGGTATATAGAGGGATCTTTTCTTAAAATATCCAAAAAAGGGCTCTGGAAAGATGGTTGCATTTCCACAGTACACAGGTTCAATTCTCAACACCCACATAGAAGCTCACAACTGTTAAGTCCAGTTCTAGGGAATCCAACACCCTCATACAGACATACATACAGGTGAAACACCTTTTCATCTAAACGAAAAATAATCATTTTTAAAAAGTATATATCACATTGTGGAACTTTCCCTGGCATGATGTCGACTCATTTTTACTCAGCTAAGTGATTTGTTGGGGTCATTCACATCAAGAGAATTGTGTTATCAATTAAAATAAGCAATGTGCAGAATTCATTTACAAAGGGATTCTAATCCACTCAGTCTTTCACTGAACAAGTAGCAGGGACTTTTATCACCTGGAAATGATGGAAGGCAGAAGGAGTAAATGGTCATCTTCATTTTCTGCATTATAATGACATCTTTTGGAGCTGGAAAGTTGATTCAGTAGCACTGCTTCTGTTGGGCAGCCAAGTTTGGTTCCTAGCACCCACATCAGGTGGCTTAGAAATAACTGTAAATCCTGGTTCAGGAGATCTGATGCACTTTTATGCTTTCCTTGGGCACCAGATATGTTAATGGTATATAGGTGGATATATACATACATACATATACACATATACATAAGTATACTGTATGTGTGTTTGAGAGAGGAGAGACTACATATTTTAAAAATAGCTTTCTTCATAAATATGTTATTACTTTTTAATTAATTACTTTTGTGCTGGTGGCTATATCAGAGAAACAGCAGGTGGCAATTGGGGTTCAGGCTGTCACTCCACCAGAAGAAAAACGTTCTGATGGGTGTATCTTTTTTAAGCAAGGCTTAGGAGAATACAGACTCAGGAATGTCTTGCTTCTGCTGTGCCTTTGCATGCTTGCTGTTGCTCTTTTTCTGATATCTCACATGGGTTGAATTGGGTATGGGGAAATTCCCCACTGCCTGCAAGGTATGTGTTTATCTCATGGAAACATCCCAATCTACCGGGCATTTATATTTGGGAATTGTCAGGAAGATGCTGTATAATTTTGACACAGTCATTGCCTGATTCCCCTTAGAAGGTTCTTTTGATCACAGCTCAAATTAATTATTAACTGGGATCCAGGATGGCTCAAATTCCTCTAATTTTATTGTTGAGCACCACGAGCTGATACAAAGCTTCAAAATAGCTTTAGATTAGACCACATGTCTTGCACTGTTTTTAAGATAAACATTCCCAATCTTTAGTGTACAAGGACACACAGCTGAGCTGTCTGGCTAGGTTGTAAATACAAAAAAGCCAAATTATCGCTAGATGCGAAATGATTAATTCTTTGCATTTATTCCTGACCTCAATTTGTGTAAGTAAATTCTGACTAGTCAAGGCTAAGGAAATTATTTGACTCTGTAGCCCCAAATGAGGGCTACAGGATTTCTTGGGTAATCGGGAGATATACACAGGGCACAAATGGTTAAGTTTTAACCATTATGGTCATAGTATTGGGGAAGGTGCCGTCTGAGCTGATGTTAAAAGATATATGGTAACCTGGGCCTGAAAATCTATCACACCTTTAGCCCAACACTCAGTAGACAACGTGGAGATTTAAAGAGAATTCAGAATTTATGATTCCTAATTGCTGGGTGTTAGTTCAAAATGTTTACATAGTTGTGGGTTAGTTTGAACTGCCTTTCCCCTGCCTGGGACATGTTTTTATCTATAATCATTCACTTGAGAAATGGGATGTATCTCTTTATGACTTTTGTGTTGTCTGAGAGGTTCTGTTGAAGTATTTAAGTGGTGGAGGAAAAGGGGACAAAGGAGAAATAAAGAACAATATGTGAAAATAAAGAAAGGAACTATCAAGAGAATGTGTGAGTGTCCTTTTTCCTTAAAACTCCTCATATAGAAAAATCTTAGCTTTGCGAATGCTGTGGATTCCTCTCAAACCCTGTGCTGCCTTGGGTCTGGTTCCCCATAGTCATCGATACTTTTGCTCATGTGTATTGTTGGAACACTGTCCTTGAATGAAGTCTGTAGCTAAAGTTTTCCTGCCTGGCCCAGCCAGGACAAATGTCTCTCACCTGCCAGTCCCACAGCCGCTCAGACCCGACCAAGTAAACACAGAGACTTATATTGCTTACAAACTGTATGGCCATGGCAGGCTTCTTGCTAACTGTTCTTACAGCTTAAATTAATCCATTTCTATAAATCTATACCTTGCCACATGGCTCGTGGCTTACCGGCATCTTCACGTGCTGTTTGTCATCGTGGCGGCTGGCAGTGTCTCTGACTCAGCCTTCCACTTCCCAGCTTTATTCTCCTCCTTGTCCCGCCTATACTTCCTGCCTAGCCACTGGCCAATCAGTGATTTATTTATTGACCAATCACACTTGACACACTTGACATACAGACCATCCCACAGCAGAAGTCATGTGAGGAGGGTTTTGAGTGCTTGTGTGTACAGTTCAAGAAACAGGACAAGGCAATTGTGACTTAAGTTTCTTCAAAACACAGAATTGTTCTTGGAATGTGTTTTCATGTTCCACACAATATGGCAGTTAGGAGTGAATTTATTCTCATTGTTCTTATTACTCATCATTGTTGTTTTTATTCAGTTAACCTGTGCTTTATATGCCTTCATGGGAAAACATGTTTTGGTCCCATCTGGGTGGTTTTTGTCATTGTATACAGTTTGAACACACTAGAACTTGCCACACGTGGCCTTTCTTAACCCTCAGACTATAAATTTTCTGAGGCTCTGAATAAAGTAGGCTCTTGCACAAGACTTTGTGCCTCATTTATCAGCTCAATTCTCCCAGGGCTCACCATCTCTAGAATGGTGACAAGTGGCTTTTGAACAGGGACCAGAAATTAGTTACAAGATGAGAGAGGATCCTCAGAGAAGGTCAGTGAGAATAATGGCGCAGAAACCAGAGCAAGCTTTGCCTTAAACAAGTACATCATTTTTAAAGTAAGGAGGAGCACAAGTATTAAAAGCACAATTATTATGTTGGGTACAAATTGTTTTTAACTCCTGTTCCAGAAGAAGGCAATTTAGGTGAAGAAGTACAGGACAGAGTTCAAAAGGAAAATGAAAAGACATTAAGGGGGAAAGATCCCACCCAGTTTGGTTTGGGTCACTTGGTCATTAACTTGGACCATTCTCAAAATAATCAAGGAGGATATTAATTATGAAGGAGTGATATCAAATTCTTGGAATGAATATAAACTTCATGACCTCAGTTTAAAATTGGTAAAAGAAACAAGAAAGGTGAATTTCTTTGTTTGGGTAAAACTGAAAGCAATGCACCACTGATATTTGATGCAGGTGACAGCTTCAGGTCCCGTATTCGAGCCTCCTTTACATAAATATTGTCCGTTTTCTGAAAAAGATTGTGAAGCATGGAGTGAGTAATTTACTAATCAGTCTAATCTTGAATTATCTCCATTTTGATGAGGAATGAAGAGAGTCTGTGCGAAAGCTAACTTCATTTACCAATTCCTTCCTGGCCTTGTGAACTGTGATTGTTATTTCCAGTGCAATTTCAGCAGAAAGAAAATGTTTAACCTCTAATTATGCACTAAACATCTATTTAAAACTATAGAAGGATAGATGGCACTTGGCTGTCTTCCTTCACAGGTTTACATCAATAATATATTACCTTTCTTAGAAGGGATCTTGATCATCTGTCTCTTCCACAAAATATCACGTGTGAACTATTTTGATGGATTATGTTGTTGGACCATATGAGCAGGAGGTAGCAACCACTTTGAACTCATTGGTAACACTTATGTCCATCAAGGATGGGTCATAAATCCAAACAAAATTCAAGGGTCTTTTTCCCAATTGAAATACTTGGGAGTCCAGTGGTGGTTGCCATGCAGAGATACTCCTAAGGTGAAGGACAACTTGCCCCTCCCAGCACCAAGAAAGGAGCACAATGTTTGGTGTGCTTGTTTGGAATCTGGAGACAGCTCATTGCTCTCTTGGGTGTATTATTTTGGCCCATGTGTCAATTGACTTGAAAAGCTGCTAGCTTCGTGTGGGGCCTGGAACAGAAGAATGCTATTCAACAGGTGCAGGTAACAGCTGTGTAGACTTCTATACTACTTAGACTGCCATATCAAAGGTATACAGAGTGTCAGTGGCAGATGGGGATGCTTTTAGGAGCCTGTGTTAGTCCCTGTAGTTATATCAAAGAAATCTTTGGACTCTTGGAACAAGGCTCTACAGCAGTTTGCAGACAAGTATTCTCCCTTTTAGAGATAGCTATTGGCATACTATTGGGCCTTAGTGGAAACTGAACATTTGACAATGGGCCACTAAGTTACATGCAACCTGACCTGCATTTCCATCATGACCTGGGTGTTATCTGACCCATCATGTCATAAATTAGGACAAACACAGCAGCAATCTATTATCAAATGGGAGTGATATATTTGTGATTTTTCTGGAGAATGTCCTGAAGGCACAAGCAAGTTACATTAAAATTTCTACAACCAATAAAATTCCCCTGCTACCAAGTATTTATCTATAGACTTGGGGAGGTGGGTGGGTCTCAGGAAGGCTGATGCCAGAGGTGGGGCAGAAGGTTGGGGTGTTGCTGTGAGTACAGACAGGTTGGGCAGGGTTGGGTCAGAAGCTGGTGGTGGGAATAGAAGCTAGGTGTGGCCAGAGACTTGGATGGGGGTTGAAGTTTAATGAAAGTTGGGGATGCATTTGGACAGGGTTGATTGAGGCATTCATCATAGTGAGTAGACCCAGTTTTGGCAGTGGCAAGTTAGGCAGGGTCACATCCAAGGAAGGTCCAGTAGTAGGCAGGGCAGAGGCTAGACCAGGGAAAGGAATGGGAACTACAAGTGCAGGGGTTGATGGAAGGAGACTGTTAGGCTGGACTTGATAAATTTGGCCAGGTCTGTCAGTGCCAGGTGACCCTGACGTGCCAGAGCTCCACACAGGCAACTTTGTGCATTTACAAGACTTCTGCCACACATGACTCCCACAAACCCAAACACCCATGAATATTTCTTGAAACACACATGCAAAAATGGCAGCCATGCTTAGACACACACACACACACACACACACACACACACACACACACACACACATCACACACATCACACATGCCCTACAGATATAAATATACCAGTAACACTCCGGTACCTACCACAAACATCTCCCATGTTTCTCAAAATGTATAGTCAGAGTCAGAAGGATGGAGCAGTCAATAATGTGGCTTGTTGACAGCCCTACTTACTTAAGTTTGCTTCCCACATGATGGAAGGAGAGAACGAATTCTCAAGTTATTCTCTGTTTGCCACATATGCAAAGTGACATCTGTGCATACACCTGCAGATACACACAAAAGAATGTGATAAAACATGTTTACAAGTATATAATTACACAAACATGCTCATCTATTTAGGAAGTGGTGAGAGCCTTGATCATAACTTGTTCCACCTGGGATGCAGCCAGTAAGGGCTAGAGCACATGGTCTGGGCATCCTGCCAGACATCATAACCCGACTACAGAGGCGGTTGATGGACCTGGGATCCAGGCATGAGAGGATAAGAGAGTTATTCCATATGAATGGCTCCTGCCACTAGGCTCTCCTTAGGGTATATTTCCATATGAGTCTAGTTATTGATCTACCTTCCTGTCCACACACAAGGGCACTGTCTATTCAGCAAGAAGAGATGGCTAGATTCCCTGAAACTTTGAAGTTACAGATGTGAGTTTCCATGTGGGTACTGGAAACTGAACTCTGTTTTCTGCAAAAGCTACTTGCCAGAGTCCAGCTCCAGCGGGGTTCAGGTCCCAAAGAGGAGGTATAGAGTCGACAAAGGAAGGAAACTGACAAGATCTGAGGGTAAATTAGAATAGCTGCTGGTTTATTTTAAAAGGGCCATACCTTTTATACTCTATAATTGTACAATAGTTTAGACACAAGCAAAATTGAAATCTGACTTAATGATTCTGGGATGAATTCAGCCATCAACCTTATGACAGCATTTTTACTGAGGCAAAAAGCGCTAAGTTCAGCAGTATCTAAATGCCTGTCTGGATGTGAGCCCATTGTTTTCCTCCATAGTGTGCTTTCATCTGTGGGACCAGGTATACCCAGTTCTCTATTCTTGGTGTCATGTGAGGGGGCACAATGCAGATTTTTGTGCAGGAGTAGGCAGAGTTATCATGCTATGATTCCGTGGTGGGGCTTTTTTCCAAAGAGTTATTTTGTTTAAAGAGACTGCCATTGTATACATCCTCATCCTCCATCAAAGCCTACCTAAAATTTTCCAAAGTAAAAGACGTAAGGAAACTCTCATAACATATACTGAAAATCATTGAAAATGGAAATAAAAAGATTTTGGAGAGTTGTGATCTGCAATGTTGAAATGCTGCAATGTCATCAAGCAGCATTGTTTGCTGTGTGGTCCATGTCAAGTACTAAACTACAAAACCATCTCATATCTCTTTTTGATTTCTTTTAAGATTTAATTTATTATTCTTGTCTTTGTGCATGCACATGAATAGTATAATTGGAAATCAGATGACAGCCTGTGTGACATAGTCCTCTCTTTCTACCGTGTGGGTCCTAAGGACCAAACCATGTCCTTCAGTCTTGACTGCAAGCACCTTTACCTGCTGAGCCCTGATCTTTTTTGTTAATCATTGCTTTTGAGGTTCTGTTTTTAAAACATGTTCATGAAGTTCAGGCTGACCTTGAACTCATGACCTTTCTGCCTCCACCTCCAATTACTGAGATAATAGATTTCAATACCATGCCCTGCTTATGCAGAGGCCTGTTGCATGCTGGGCTATTACTCTACCCAATGAGACCCATCTGAGCTGAAAACATTGATG